ATCTAAGAACCAATCAGAACTGTTCGATATCCTACTGTTGATTGGTAGTGAGATGTGTTATTTGGAATATATAACCAATCAGAACTGTTATTTATCATTTTGTTGATTGGACATATAAGTTTTACTGGGATTATCTAAGAACCAATCAGAGCTGTTAGATTCCTTGATTTTTTGGTTCTAAGTGGGCTCTTACTTCTATGATTATTTGTTATTGATTGAGTGTTCAAGATTGTAATCAGGGTACGCAGCACAGTTAAGGTTACAAATGGAAATATCGGCGATTTTTTAAGATAAAAAATACATACTTTTCTAGGATGGGCGAATCTTTTTTAGGAATTCATTGATATCTAAAAAATTTAATGTGGTTTAAATCTACATATTTTGGACATTTAGATTTTTTATTTAGACTTGTCATGTGATGTCGACGTCACATGACTTTGGCAATTATACTTGCAGTTTAGAGGTCATCTATATATTTCAATATTGCAAGGGCATAACCAAGTTAAAAATTTTAATTTTTTTTATAATTCTTTTCAACACTATATGTAGTTTGTGAAAAGTGCTGCGAACCTATATAGATTCCCTTTTTTAATTGGTAAAATTTAATTTGTTGGACGGCAGGTTGAATATTTTGCTGGTCAACTACATTAAATATAGCTAAAATTAATTTATCTGCAAGATTTCAAGAGGTTCGCAGCATTTTTCAAATATCTTAATGCTTCTTGAGTTTGTGTTTAAAATTTTGACAAGATACATTGAGGGTATGCCCTTGCAATAAATCGATTTCTTATGGCCCTTCCATTACTTTTTCAATGAATCTGCATACGAACACACGACAGTATCGCTTGTCTGGAGAATGCACATACAGTTTACAAATAAAATACTAAAATAGACATCGCATCCAAGTTAATGGCTCTTTATTTTACTGCAAATAATATTTTATTTGAGAACAAAAGAGATTTTTCATTGTACAAAATGTGACTTGATCAGCCTCTCACTGTGTAAAAACTGCGTCATTTTTGCGAGATGACGTCACATTGACAAGTGCATTGCGATTGATGCATCGTTTATATTCTGTTGTGTGGGATTTAACAAACGACAATATTGCATGTAATAGTAAGTCTGTATGTAGTATACATCTATCCAGTTGTTTGAAATAGCAAATAATTTCATTTTGTGGTATTTTGAAGACCTTATATTTTTCGTGACGTCATAGTAAACATTTCCCGTACAAATTAGGCCCCGCCTCCTTACTGTAACCTTAACTGTGCTGCGTATCATAGAAACTTTACCCTGTCTTTGTTTTCATACCTCTAGAATTTTCAGGGATTCACTATTAAGTTTCTTCTGATGTATTCTTTTGATTCTTAATTAGAACTAGCTTATAATCAGCTTTAAATGATTTTCTTAATCTTGGAATCAGGATAATTCCTATATTTGTTTGTACATGTTAATGTTTCATTATGTATAGTCATAATACTTAAACAGTTGACGGGTTGTAAATCTGTGTTAATTGCATGTCCCGGTCCTTATTGTATGGAAAACAATTGTAACAACCCTTAGTTAATTCTGAGGTTGACCAGTCTGATTATATGTGCATAGTTGATTCAACTGTAATATTTTAAAGCTCCTTAAGATTTTACAATATATTTTCAGACATGTGATATACATGTAATCTCATTATATTTATCTGAGTCATGTACAGCTCTGAACAAAGAAAAACATATTTTAAACTCTGCATAATACTTTGAAGGATTATCCAAAGAGAGTAAAAGAATTCTTATACTGATAATGTGTATTGAAGTCAATAATAAATATGAAACATGTGAAAAGAATCTGAATTTTAGAGACGTGACTTTTCAGATGATTTTTTATTGATTATTAAAGATTTCTAAATGCTGTGCCATTTTTAAACCCCAAGCATGCATGCATCATATTGAAGAATTTATGTGTGAAGTTTAGTTTTTACCATCATGTTAAATGAAGAGAACTAAATTTTGATATTGCTGTAGATTTTGTACTTCATTTTGCTATATGAAAAAAATATTACATTTTATTTGATAATGATATTGCTTTGGTTGTTTATTCATATAAAGAATCACAGACACAATTGAGAGAAATGGATTCTGTAGACGGTTAATTGTATGTGAGTCTTTAATATTGTGAAAGATCTTGTAGACTTTCATGAAATATGAAAATAATGAAAACTAATCAAGGTCAAAATTTCATTCAAACAATAAAATTGTGAGCAGATATAATACACATATCTTTGTAAACATCAGAGATTATTTGTAATGGAAGGACATGGAGATAATGAACAGTTTTCAATATTACAGTCCATAAAACACTACAAAAGAGGAACAGAGCAACCACAGACCTCCAAAACCTCAGAGGTGGGATCAGGTGCCATGGAGGAGTTGGCATCCCACAGTGTGCTCCTTGTCATGATCGGGAATTAACTGGAAAATCCGTTGTCAATTCAGTGTATAAATGGAGAAGGCTGGTAGTTTTTCACAGTTTTATTCATTCATTAGCAGACATCTTGATAACAAGAGTTACAAATAGCGTGAATAGTGTAAAGACAGAAAATTTAACAGTGAGTTCTACTTGTTTGAAATTCCTGAAATATTGAGGCCTTATAGTTTATGTTTTTACTAAACTGATTAAAATATATATGTTGTCTGTCATTGTTGTTTTTTTTTAAACTTTGAAATTCATATCCTTAATTCTGAATCAATGGGCCATTTGCAACCAAACTTGGCACAAAGCATTTTTTGATAGGTGGTTTCAATTTTTTTTTCTCATATGAAGGGTCCCTATCCTTTATCAAGAGGAAGATAATTAAGAAATACATGTAGAGAATATTGGTTGGGATCGTTTGAAATTCTTTTTCTCAAGAACAACTAGGCAGCAAGTTATTTTATCACAAATTTATCCCATGGATATCACTTGATATTGCATTTCATATCCCATTGCTCTGATGCCACAATCTGGTTTGCCATTTAACAGTTGACAATTTTTTTTTCAAAAGGGTTTTCTATATTTTCTATATTCAGAATGTTTCGGAGCAAACTCTTACATATATTGTAAACTCAGCATTCAACAAGACGCTAAGATATGGAATGCTAAAATTCTCTTGACTTCTAGTAGTTTTTCATTTTAGACTATTTAATATTAGCTTTATAATACATGGAATAAAAACAGACTACCGTAAGAAAAAGGATATGTAAATAATAATCTCACTTAGATGAATTTCTACAAATATCTGACACTTAATTAATTAAGGGATTTCATTGAAAAATGCCTTGTATTCTCATTTCTGTAGCTGAGTATAGTTTGTGATGTGGTTCTTCTCTGAGAGACTGTTGGTATGAGTATAGAGCAACCTGGAGGTTCCCTGTAACCTGTTGACAGATCCCCAGAATCTGCCACGATATGTCTCTGTATATTATACGTATAAGCTGTCCCTGATCATAGTGAACTAGGGTCTGTAGGTCATCTAGAGCTGTTTGTGCTCCCATTGTGTCTACTTGTCTGTAGCAGAAGATCTCTAGCATGTATAATAGTATCAAGGGTGGGAAATATAATATAGGCATCCGATTCTGTAGAGCAGATTTTTGTTCTGGTATTGTAACGGATTCTATTGTGAAGTCTGATATAACCTGCTACAGCCTGTCTCATCTTTGTAGACCAGGACTGTCCCCCTACAGCCTCAATATACATCTCTCTATCTACATTACCCATATACATCACATAGGGCTTTGCTAACTTGACCTTGATCATCTCTATAATAGAAAACGTTTCTATGTGTCTAAGTGTTTTGTAATAATACATCGCTATGTGCAGCATGTCAGTAATACAACCAAACTTGGCTGCTAATTTCATCATGTGACAGGAGATTTTGTCAGCTCTATACCTCAGTTTGTTTTTATGTGTGTAAGTTTCCATGTGTAATAAAAAAGCACTTTCATTAAGAACATCAGCTGTAAGTTTCTGTAGCATCAGTACTTGATACTGTGTCAGGAACAGCGAATCTGTCAACTGTTCTGTTACATGTAGATATTTCATACAGCCTTGTATGTTCACTTCGTTTAATTTTTTGTAAAAACGTAGTATTTCACAATATAGGTTTACATCAAACTCAGCCTCAGAATTCAGAGTATGTTCATCGGTACAGATGGAGAGTCTGGGGTTTTGTAGGACATTTATAATACAGGACCTAATGGAGGGACTGTGTAGAAGGAATGAAAATCCCTTCTCATACGACCCATACAATCTTATAAATAATTGATGTTGTTTGTTCCCATGAATATTACTCAGAAACATGTTGTTTTCTGGAATGAAAAAAGTTAGGACAGACCCCCTCATACACCCATTTGAGGATGAGTTTAAAACAGATCCAGAAACCCCCCAGAAGACTTCGTGGACACCAGTGAGGTATTGTATTTTGTTGAATCACCCAGAAGAGTGCTGTTTTCATGTAATAGGAACACAATAATTTATCATCATCACCAAGTCCATGGTTAATAATTTCTGTTAAGAACAAGTTAAGTAAGCCGTAGGTTAAAAATTGACAATGATTCATTGCATTCACTAGTCTTTGTTCTGCCAGAGAGAAAGAAATTCTCCATTCATGGTATTCATGTCTTCCTAGCTTATATCCTATTGCTAAAAAGTGACATTTATTTTTTACTATATCATCAACAACATGAGGTTGGGGCCATGAGTGATATCTGTCTACCCATGAGGAGGCAGACGGAGGCCAAAAATCACTAACAAAACAGAGGGCAGAATCAATCTCTATTGTTCCAATTGTTGTACTGGCACAGGGTCCATGATGAGTTGATTGTCTTATTGACGCAGCACACATGATCTGCCTGTACTTAGAACTAGATAAATAATGTCTGTTATTCATTGTAACACAAACTCTCTGCATGTCACTGTCCATGCTTGTTGACTTTAAATATAACAGAGTAAATCCTGGTGGACTATCAGAACAGTCACAGGGGATCAGTGTTTGTCTGTGTTTTGTAATACTGAGACTGAGATAATTCCCAGATCACACGGTGATCATTTGGCCAGAACATATAGTCTACATCTGATCCTTCCAGTCTGAATCCTTCTCTGACACTTCCACTCACCATCACACTGAACCCATCACTTGTTTTCATTTGATTTTCCACCTTTTCCTTGATGTCTACCAAATCTCTCCTCATGGCCACCTGTGGTGAGGTCCCCACTATGTGACTCAGTCCCACAAACACTGACTCTGATATGTGTTGTATGGCTTTAGTACTGAGAACGATTAAAGTGGAAATTATACTCTTGTATAATGAATGTTTCACTTTTGTTAATCTATAATATGCACGTAATTATCATAATTGAAGGTTATTAACATGATTATTAATAATACGTAATTATATCTATTATTCAAAATATTGTAGACAGTGTATTTTTTTTTTTCTAAATGCAATTTTAGCTCACCTGAGCCGAAGGCTCAAGTGAGCTTTTCTGATCAAAATTTGTCCGTTGTCTGTCGTCGTCGTTGTTATCGTCATAAACTTTTCACATTTTCATTTTCTTCTCAAGAACTTCTGGGTCAATTTCAACCAAACTTGCCACAAAGTATTCTTAGAAGAAGGGAATTCAAGTTTGTTCAAATGAAGGGTCATGCCTTCTTCTAAGGGGAGATAGTAATGAATTAATAAAAGATTAATGGCATCTTTTAAAAATCTTCTTCTCAAAAACCACTGGGCCAGGCAAGATGAAACTCATGTAATGACCCCCAGGCTAGGGTGGGACAACAATGGCTGATCAAAGTTTTATATAGGAATATATAGGAAAAATCTTTAAAAATCTCCTTCTCAAGTACTTCAAAGTCATGATTAGTGATATTTATATGGAATAATTCTCAGGTAGTGTAGATTCTAGTTTGTTCAAATTATAACCCCCAGGGATAGGGTGGGGTCACAATGGGGGATCCAAGTTTAACATTAAAATAAATGACTGCCGTCATGAGAAAAGGGCCCTTATCTTTTGACGTCACAATGCTCAGAAAACGACGTCAAAATCGCGGTATTGTAAACACGGAAGTAATTTTTGTTGACTGCATTTTGTAAACAAGAAATAAAATTGAATTTCAAAGCGTAACAAAAATTTGAAACTTGATGCGGACATTTTTTTAATAGGTATATGATATATTTACGATTTAGTGCGTAAATTTATTCAAAATTTTGTTTAAGTATTTAACTTGATGTAGATATACAGGCCATCGGACATGCACGTTGCTAACTATGGAACAGCGATCAAAACGATATCTATGCATGACTAAATTAAAGATGCTGCACATTTGTTTTCTGAGCAATTTACAAATGCTTAAATGAATTCTGAATTCATGTTAAGAAGTCTTAATATTAAAAGTTTTATTCCATATACATTTGTACATGTATATTTTTTCAGTGAGAGAGAGAGAGAGAGAGATCCGCATATATAGTAATTACCGTTCTTATAAGCACTACTTTTTTCCTGAAAAATATATACCATAATTTAAAACGTATTTAGCCATTTTAATTTTAATCCATAGTTAATCATGCTGATGTACTCCGATAGGCAGCCTTCGGTGAACTGTCGATTTTAAAATGTGTGTAAAAAAAAGGGGGGGGGGGAGATAGAAGACAATCCAAAAAAAAAAAATCGGAATAAAAAGACCGGTAAAAGTTAAAGCTAAGAAACATAATCCCTCTTTGATTGAATAAAGACACAGGTAACATGGGAGATTCAAACCTTTTACATAAACAATAATTTTTTTTTACTTAATTAACAGTAATAGAATATGCTATGGGAAAAAAATACGGATGATGAGGATGTCACGAAAATTTTGTTAAAATAAATTTTGTTTCAAAAAGTAATTGAAAATGATCAAATAAATACATTCAAAGGAATTGTATAGTAGACATTACTATTGATTCAAATTTCTGAAATTGTTCCGATGAAATGAATGAATGAAATCCCACTGGAACCTATTTTGCAATATGTTAAGAAAATATTTACATCCACTAAATATTTTCTCCTTTATTTCTTAGGAAACCCCATTGCGTTCATCCCTGCATAAACTACAATAGGCATGTCGCCTGTACAGATTTCTTAATCAGTAGCTGTTCCATCAATGAAACGTATAAAGACGTTTGCATCACAATAATTAATCTTTTTAATCCTACTTTAATTGATTATTCAAGCAGATATAAATATTAACAATAAAATGTCTTTCTTTGTTTGTTATTACTGGAATGAACGGTCGCAGCTATTGCAGAAAAAATTTACATAACCCGCTTACGCGGGTTATGTATTTTTTCTGCAACAGCTGCTTCCGTTCATTCCAGTAACAACAAACAAAGAAAGCATTTTATTGTTTAATTAAATACAGCTATTGTAGACTTTTCCCAAAAGCATTATACCCAATGTTGTCTGTAGAAATTAATATTACATAGACAGTGATATTATGAATGACGATATTTATAAACCAAAAGGGGAAAAAACTATTGCTAAGCAAAGTTACGTAAGAATTTCTAGATAACATCAAATACATCACTGAAAAAGCAAAAGTATGTGACAAATTGTTATGGGTTTAATTTCCAAAAGTTATGAAAATGTTTAAAATCTTTAAAAACTTTAATGAGCGTGAAATATATATCACTGACTATTCATGATATGAAATAAATAAGTCACATTTTGCGTTAAAATCTTCAACTCTGATACATGTATCAAAATACCCGGCATATCTCGCCATTAATTTCTTAAAGTTCCGAGATAAGACTTTATATCATAATCCTAACATGACTCTACGAAGAGTAATTAATAAACAAACACAATTTTTTTTTCTTTTAAATAAAATACAAGTATTGGCCATTACAGTCGCACGCAAGTAGCAACGGAGGTTGGGGTGTGCATTGAAAGTCTGCCCTCCCCCCCGCCACACACACACACATACACACTTTTTGTTGCATCATAATCAAATTCGGTCACTATAGGGCAACATGATAAGGCTCTGTATAATGCTTGATTAACTCTAACCCTATCCCCCACCCCCGCACCCCAACCCCAACGGCGAAATTGGATTCCAGTTTCGACATACACACCCTTTTTTGGTTTAGTAGGTTTTTTTTAAGGTAGATATAGTTTTTCCTAACTGAAACCTCCCCCCTCTTTTTCAAACGAGTTGTGTGGGGACAGGCCAAGGTACAAGTCAAATGTTTTTTTTTTATCTTGATATGTTTGGTATGTTCTGAAGTAATAATTAGGGAAAATGGCTTGCCTAAATATTTTCAGCGTAAGAGAGTCAAATTAGAGCGGTACACTATTACAGTATCGCCTCATAAAAAAAAAAAAACATTAACGAATAGTTCATTATTGGATAAGACAATCGCATCGAAATGTGAAAAGGTATCAAGTTAATTAGCCATTGTCACGGAGGAAAATGAATAGATGACTGTTCGTGGCTGTTAAAAAAATTGTTTTGATTGTGAAGGAAAATATGGTGGCTGAAAGTGCCCACAACTAAAAAAATATAGCTAACAACCCCCCCCCCCCCCCCCCCCCACACTGAAATGGCTTCCTAAGGGCCTGCCGTTCTTGCACAAAAATATATAAGTATTCATTCAGTTTCAAATAGATTTCGTCAAAATTTAGAACAGCACAATTACCATCCCTTCGATTAAATTATACAATATTATACATAAATCTTCTTTTTTTTTTTGAGATCGTAGTAGCGGTCATTGTAAGAATATACAAATGTTGTGTTTAAGTGAAACATGGTACAGGTGCTACTTTAAAAAAAAAAGGTTAATGTGCAGAAATATTTCTAACCGAATTAATTGTGATTTACTTAAAAAAAAAATAAGAAGCAAAAAGACGGTTAAATTGAAGTATAAATTCAGAGAAAGTATCAATTTCAGGTACGGTATATAAATCATTCAGATTCATTTGTCCTTTATTAGTCTATTTACTACGTTTCTACTCCATAACTAAGACAGGCGAAGAAAATGAATTGTATAAACAATGGAAACTTAGAGCTTTAAACATTTTAAATAAACTATTCAAAAAACGTAAAAATTTTAAAATCCGCTTGCATGGAAGATTGATTGATTAATTGGATATTGTTTGACGTCCCTCTAGAGAATTTTTCACTTTTATGGAGACGCCACCACTTGCCGGTGGAGAGCTGCAAATTTTGTCCTATACTCGGAACTCAGGGCCATTGAACTTTTTCGTACCAGCACCTACTGCGACACGGGACCTCGGTTTATACGGTCTCATCCGAGGGACCGGTCTCCATATCCCACAGTGGGATTTGAACCCGCGACGTAAAGATTGACTCTATACTTCCTTGCATGGAAAAAGGGAACGTATATTTTTTTCATGAATGTTTATAAAAGGAATAAACTTTTTAAAAACAAGTTTACATATCTTGGCGTATCTGAATTTATTATTTCTTAGTTGAATTCTTCGGTGATACAGAAAATACATGGTGTTTTAAGCTCTACTGGTCAGAGACCAGAAGAGCTTATGCGATAGTAATGCGTCCGGCGTCTGTCCGTCTGTCTGTCTGTCCGTCTGTAAACAATTTTTCAAAACACTACTCCTCCTACAATTTTAGTTTGATTTCAGTATAACTTGGCACACAAGTAGACTACACTAAGATACATAGAATAGTGCATCGGTTTTTGATTTCGATAAACTGTGTTGCCATGGTTACTAAAAATAGAATTTTCTGTAAAATTCCTTAAAAACGCTATTCCTTCTACAGTTTTTGTCTGATTTCAGTATAACTTGGCACACAAGTAGACTACACTAAGATACATAGAATAGTGCATCTTTTTTTGATTAAGATGAACGGTGTTGCCATGGTTACTAAAAATAGAATTTTCTGTGAAATTCCTTTAAAACGCTACTCCTTCTACAGTTTTGGTCTGATTTCGATATAACTTGGCAGACAAGTAGACTACACTAAGATACATAGAATAGTGCATCGGTTTTTTATTTCGATGAATGGTATTGCTATGGTTACTCAAAATAGAATTTTCTGTGGAATTCCTTAAAAACGCTACTCCTTCTACAGTTTTTGTCTGATTTCAAAATAAGTTGGCACACAAGTAGACTACACAAAGATACATAAAATAGTGCAATGGTTTTTGATAAGTACAAACCAGTAGAGCTACAGTCTCGACAGAGACTTCTGGTTTTTTATCGTAACAGTTATAGGGAATAAAGTTA